CAGGCCCGGGCTGGGGGGGGGGCGTGCCCAGGGGCCGCCTCAGGCCGGGGGGAGGGGCCGTGCCCAGGGGCCGCCTCAGGCCGGGGGCTGCCCTCAGTTTTGTAAGGGGTGCTTATTTAGAAGAGTTTACAAGATTATTTACTTTGCTGTTGTCACACCAGATTGCCATATCAGAAGGATTTTTTTTTCCCGGTTTACGCTCCTGTCCTGGTTTCCGCTGGGATAGAGTTAATTTTCTTCCTAGTAGCTGGTATAGTGCTGTGGTTTGGATTTAGGGTGAGAATAATGCCGGCAACGCACTGATGGTTTAGCTGTTGCTGAGCAGTGCTTACATGAAGTGAAGGCCGTGTCAGCCTCCCCTGCGCTGCCCGGTGCACCGGAGCCGGGAGGGGGCACAGCGGGGCAGCTGGCCAGAGGGCTGTCCCATGCCGTATGGCGTCATGCCCAGTATATAAACTGGGGGAGCTGGCTGGGGGGCAGCGATGGCTGCTCAGGGACGGGCTGGGCATCGGTCAGCAGGCAGTAAGCATTGTGTATCACTTGCTTTGTGTATTCTTTTACCATTATTGCTATTATTTTCTCTTCCTCTGCTGTCCTATTAAACTGTCTTTATCCCAACCCACGGGTTTTACTTTTTTTTCCCGATTCCCTTCCCCCATCCCACTGGGGAGGGGGAGCGAGCAGCCCTGTGGTGCTCAGTTGCCGACTGGGGTTAAACCACAACCATTCCTTGTTGTCAACGAGAGAAAACACCAGTATCCCTGAGTCTCTGCTAATATACTTCCATACCTCTACCCAGATCAACTTTAAAAAGAAGCTACAGCTTTCGGTGCTTACGCAAGAGTAGACGTAAGAGTAGATCGACCCCGTTGTATCTAAGCAAAAGTGCTTACAGTCACTTTTATATTACTAATGTATTATCCACAGAACTATGGAACTATTACCGTCCTTCGTAGTCAAGTTCAGATATACTTCACTTACTTACTTCAATTCAGTCAAATACAACCTCCTGATAGAAAAGACGGCGATTTGCTCTCTTAACCGTGGCTTTATACGTGCGTAGGGCACAGAGCAGGCTGTTCAGACGCTGCCTCGCTTTCAGAACCGCGCGGTGAAGTGGCAGGATGCGTGCTACAGTCACCCACGAGGTAGGTGCTGTTTTTAACTCCGCCAAGGGCCACTGTGAACTGGACGGACGGAGTAGCACGGGCCGGGTAAAAGCAGCTGGGCCGCGCTCCGTGCTGAACGCGTACCCAGGCCGTACGCACGACCTCTCCCGGTGAGACAGCACGAGGTGGGGCAACGTGCGGGGTCCCCAGGCGGGGTGGTACAGCCTTGGCTGTGCCGTGAACAGTGTTCGGCTGCAGGAACTGGCTCTCGAGGGGTGAATAAGTAGGGCAAGTCCTGTAATTCCCAAGGCATGGGAGTTTCCGCTAAAATAAGTAAGGTGTCACCCTGGGTGTGCCCTAGCTTCTGCCTGGGGTCGGGATGAGTCTAAGGTAGCTGCGCTGGCAGCATCCCAGGCTGCAGGACTGAGCAGGTAGCTGTAGTCGGTACATTTACATTTACGAGTCCCCGGTGCCTTCATTACCTTTTTTTTTACATCAGTACGTTACAAATAAGATTGCTTTACAGAGGCT